ACAGTGTTGATTGGCACAAACAATTATGAATGCCGTTTCTTAATTACTCTATGCATTTCCCAATTCCTTAAATTGTCCAGATAAAGTGCACTGAAGAAAACATATTACTTCATAAAATGAGATACAATAACGTACGAGATGCTGCAAGTTCAACATTGAAACATTAATACTGTTTTCGAACAAAGTAAATTATTATTACTGTTGCACCTCGCTGCAGTGTGAATCTACTTACACCCTTATTATTGCTGTATCCTAAGTATTGCACTCATTTTCTCATTTCCTTGCACTGTGTAAATAGGGTGAAACGAAGAAGTTACAGTGAACTATAAGTAAGTAACGCTGATGCCAGAAATGGTAGCAGTCGAAAGAAATGAAATGAGTTGAAGACCTTGTAATAATACTAGTAATCTCCCTTATTCCAAAACAGTACTTGACTTATTTACCTATGCATTTAAATGTGTCTTCTTATTATCTTATTTTTGTCTTTGTAGACATTGCCTTAGATGCCGTTGTACGCATCGTCTGGAAGCGGCCTTTAATTTCATCTACCTTCCGCGAAGTTTGACGTACGAAAAGTCGAAATTTTACTGACTGGAAAACGCTACAATTGGTGTTACTCATGCGCCGATACGCCAGACTAGACACGTTTTAGCAACGTATGCCTATAATAACATTACCTACATAGTAAATACAACGCTAGTTACAAAAACTCGTCATTATCTTTTCATTGCGTACTTACAAGAAAAAAACGTTCACCTTACTTTTCATACTAAGTACTGGAGATTCCGCCTAGTACTCACTTCTACTTGTTCTCTAGAAAATGCTTTCTACTATATTCGCAAATGACTATTAGACTTCTGTCACATGAAACGGTAAAACATAAGGCGTATGCAGTTTAGAAGTTAGGGTATATTTGCATTTATTGACACAAAATTTATGTACATCTTCCATTATTATACAAGAAAGTTCTCAAAGTAATTCAGAGTTGCTCGCAGTGCACTAATAGTGTATTCATTACTATAATTATCCTGCATAACTGCGAAGCTTCTGTTCAATTGCCTGCGAAGTTGCAGTATCTCCATGCAGGGTTTCTTCACTGAACCTTCACACGGCACACGACTTGGTAGCAACGTATCCTGCCAAAACCATCTGCGACACAGGCGAATTACTTTGTCAACTAAAAATATTAATTTAAATATTAGTAAGAGTTTGATTTACCTGTAAACTGAGGAATTTGAGTGTGACATAGCAGCATATGCCGGCAAGGTATTTTTGTGCCCTAAATATTCTGCAGGTACAAGTAGAGTTGGTATAATCCACTTGGTGCAGGTATATGCCGTCATTTATGATAGCCATATCATCAGTATACAACTCTATGTTCGTCCGACGATTACGGCCATAGTCCTTGGCAATTAACTTAGCGGCATAAGGAGTGAAGTTTCCTAATATCGACATAACTGGTTCTGGTGCGTGGTACTTATGAATCCGACAACTTTCGACGATGACTTCAACACTACGACGCTTCTCCGTGCGTACACACCATTTATACGTCTTGTACGTGCATACGTGTAGGGGATCTCTTCTGTGGAGATATCGTTTTAGGTGACTGTGAGAGCTTTCAACTCTATTGTTGGTACTATTAAACAGTAACAGAGTATTCGGCATAGATGCCGCAGCCCACGTCTCCTTCTCAGGCACCCAGTAATGCCTGACATAATTCCACACCCTCCGATCAACCATCCTAATGACACTAAGGTAGTGATGAAATCTAAACGGTTAGAAATCAATGCATTTACCTTTCAGGTGTCGCAGCTTTAACAAGACGATATAAAAACCTGCGTACAAAATGATTTCGAGTCCAAATGCATCAAGTATTAATTAAATTCACCTCACCTTCCTGCTGAAAGCCCGGCATACATGAAATGCACAGATGACTATTTTCGCCTGAATGTCTGAATGACTATTACGCACGGCGGATATCTCACAGTTGGCCGAATCCATTACGAAAGTTTCTGTAATGAACGTATTCTGCATTATTCTTTGGAATTATTCCAATATCCAAGCTACATTACATGACCTCTCTCGTCTCGTCCATGCCAAAAAGCAGGCCTGCCATGACCCATATTGTCTGTTACCACCAAATGAAACAGAGAATATCTGATTAAGATTTGTCAACCGTTTCACGTATAACCTACCCGTCCTTATTGGTATTGTATGTTGAGTCAATACACACCACCTCTCCATATTTCCGATATCACTGAACCTGTGATTCCAGGTGAAGTAAATTCTGCTGGTTATCCCTGTATTCGAATCCACGTATTCAACCACCTGACCGCCTTGCCTTATTATGCGCATAACATCTGATCTTAAAGACATGGCTTCAAAAATAACTTTAAACTACTTCAATTACCTGGTCTCACATCCTTACGTAAATTATACACATCTGTGCTCGTCAAAATTTTATTAAAATTGTCTTCAGCTTATTCCAAAACATCAGCAACCTCAGATGTAGTCTTCGCAACTGGTGCAATATTCTCCTTTTCATCCCCGGACAGGCGTCTAAAATATGGATCACCTATCATAAGACTTTGTTCACATCTGTGATTGTGAACTGTTTTCGCGAAAGAAATGATAAACTCGTCCTCCTTGTAGCGTATACGAAAGCCAGATTGGCAACCGGTGCATTTTACACTGCAGAAATAAATAATAGAATTCTTACGGTTTGACGCGTAAGCCTGAACCTCTAGTTTTTCGCTTCATGCCATATGTACAACGAAAGACTACTAAATTGTACTTCAACTCCTGAGATTCATGGTCCCGTATGCACTTTTCGATTACATAATGTGTTTGAGTTGCCTAGGAATACTCTGTCATACATATATACATATATTACTGATTCCAGCTGACTTAGAGCATCTTCTACTTGAACCCAACTGGTATACCGGTGAACAAACATAATTCCGTCAAAAAGCTTTTTGATATCCACTGATATAGGAAGGGCAGATTGGTTACCATTGTCTCCAAGTGCCAATGCGTCCATTCGGTACCACTGTAAATGAAAACAGAAGCTTTTCAATAACAAATTCACGAATAGCCAACAGAGTACAGTAAGCAACTTAGAAGAGACATTAACTTGGAAACTATAGCGGAAAAAAATATATAAATTCCTTGCCACAGTTACCGTTTTGGAAAGTTCCTGATTATAGCCACAAACGTTTACTGAAACACTCGTGAACGACAAATATAGACACAAGTGATGAAACGAAGCTCTACAGAAATCACTGAGACGCCACAAACAGGAGGATTTTAGGTGCACCCTATAATTTTCACATGAAACACATTCTCAAGCATCCTCCTGCACCATAACTGCCTTCAGGCTTAGAGGTAGCTTCTGACGACTATTCTCAACAAAATCAGTACAGTTCAAGCCAAATAGAAACCAGAATCACGTCAAATGCAGCTACCTAGATCAAACAAAACAAATCAGCCACACTGAAATCAACTAGACTGCGCAAATGTCCTCAAGGTAAAGGTGGAGGCGCCACTTCAAACAGGGGATATGCCTTATCAACGCCCCATTTAAGACGTCAGTAATCGTAGTTGGTCAAACATACATGTCAGCGTTAACGAAAGCCCCTGCTGCTTGAGTGGTTTATTAAAAACAAGTACACTAACCTGGCGTCAGTGTTAGCGGTTTAGAGGCTAAGGGAGTTGACGTTCACGGATAGTAAGAGGTATACTAACGCAAGATCTAATACTAACAACTGCTATAGTATTCGTTCCGCGTAGACCAGAGGCATAGAAAAACACCAGAATTGAGTGTCCAAATTACGAACCATATTTTGGGACCGAACAGGAGTGCTAGACGATTACTTAGCTAGCTAAGAATCGTGAACGAATGAACGTGACACGACGGAGTGCCAAATGGCGGGGATGCTTGACCGGAAGCCTTCAGCTAAACAAGTCGACTTCAACTGTGAGGGTCAGCATCCAATGTTGAGTGATGATTGCTGTGGTCAATAATTTTGGGGAATTATTTACCGCTACACACTAATATGAACAGCATGGAAAACCAGTTCAGAAGACTAGGTGTATTGGTGCATGAGTTGAACAAATTCATAGTGACCACCACTCTAATATATGTTTTCTTTGATTTGGACGAGATGTTAGAGTTTGTCTCTCTGCTAAAATATAAGGTCCGTAATTGCAGACAGAATGAAGCACTTAAGGACATAAGTAAATTCCTGAATGTTTCTTCATGGAAATCTAAAAAGAACGATATTTGGATGTGAGAAATAGTTGATCGTGGAACAGGTTTTAAGGGTTGTACATTATATGGTGACTTCCTATTATGGAAGATCGTGCAGTGGATTAGGTATAACAATTTTAGGTGACTCTGATGCACCATGTAAGCTGACCCAAATAATCTTCAGGGTCCATTGGCAAGTTTGACGGCAGATCACTTCTGACCGTCATGGAGAATGTCATGGAACATCATGCCTTAGACAATACATGATCTGGGGACTATCGAGATGTCTTTCATGTTGGGTGCTAAATCTAGATGCTAAATCTAACAGACAGTCATTGTGGGGAGTTGTCATTTAGATATATGGCTTATGATTAAGTGTAGGTGTGATTCCTGTGTGGTCTTAACTTTTGGCATCTCTGTCCTACATCTGGCTGTTGGACACTAACTCGTCCACTGATGATCAATGGAATAAAGGGAAAATACACTAGGAATGAATGCCACTGAATTCACTCCTTGTTGGGTACCAAGTAGGTCTGTGAATCATCTCCACTGGATGTATGGTAAGATTATGTCACTCTTCCAACTTAGAAAAAAGATTATGAAACCTCTAATCTTCAAAATTTTTCACAGAATTACTGCAAATTGGGATGAAATTTTCGCCTCGATTTGTGCACAGCGTTCACAGTGACATATTAGTAAAAAGTAGGTCTCGTTATCCAACGAACAGTACGCGTTCAAGGTCATTCTGGTGCTCGGCTCGAACTTCATGACATTTATGCCTTAACTTGTCCAGTGACAGTCTTTCTGTAAGGTTTAGTCCTTTTTCATCATTAGGACGTTGGAATACTTGTTTTCTACAACAGATTTCTGTAATAGTTCGTCTAGTAAAATCTTTAACGCGCTCAATTTTTATGTCGCGCTACCCCTAGTCAGAATGATTATTGTACATGGAGTGGTAAGTTCCACATTTCGTAATTCCTCATTATCTCCCCTAAGAAAACTCCACTTCTTCGATCTCATCTGCACACTAAAATTCCTCCGTGCTTGAAGTTATGGGACGAAAAATATTATGGTGCTAAGTTTTCGTCGAGGTAAGTATTGATACTAACGCAGTGTGTGTAATTCTGTTGTGTGCGTATGTGTGAATAATGTTTTGAGGATAACAGACAAATGGACAAACTAAAGTATAGCAACCGAAGCAAACGGCCAACTGGATGACGTACGCCTAACGTTGGGCGACCAATAAGTTATTTTGGCAGAAAATGTAGAAAATAAATTAAGTTACGCAGAGCAATTATCCAGGTTTTTAATTTCTTATATATTCTATATGTGTCCCCAGCTTGGCATTGGTGTTCTTAGCGTTAGACCCAAACAGTTTCGGTATATGAATTCGTCGTGGTGACTGTGTCCTGTAAATTCCTGACGTATTTATTGTTCAAATTTTGCTTTCCAAACGCCCCAAGAGTTGTTCTGTGGAGTTAGTACCATCCAGTGGACTAATAAGATCAGAAAAAGAGTGTTTCTTGGTGTTTTAGATGTAGCCGGATAACCATAACCCCAATATTCTTCCATGTAGTTAGTTGGTATGGTTAGGTAACTGATCCTCCCTAAAAAGCTATTATCAAAATAGCACTGGAATACGAAGTAAGGATGATGTTTGTACAGTAGGGCTCATTTTATCTGTTGTCTAAGTTCATTATGTTAGTCTTTATAAATAATTTATTTTCGGGTAATTTTGAAGACTCAGTTGATTAGCACATCCATCGTAGGTCTGAAAAACTGCGGCTTCAGCATCTTTATTGTTTGTAGACCAACTCATAGTCAAGGTTTAGTTCTCTTGAGTACTTGAATTGTAAGGTTGTGTTCAGTTAAGCTAACTTTGGTCGTTATTCTTTCTCGAGTGTGACCACGGATTGATATCAGTTAGAGATCCTTTGAAAACCAGGGATTTCTGGACATCTGTTTCATCCTGGTTTGGGAATCATCGGCAGTACTCATCCGCTGGGGTATTTTACTCCTCTGATCTTAGAATCTCATGTTTCAGCTACTCAGAAATCGTAGCTGCTGACGTAAAGCTCACTTTATTGTATTCTGTCACACAGCAAATCGTCGGTACTTTACACTTCTTTTATTTCCCTTACGTGACACCGGCACAAAGGTTGAATGTCAGTGTACCATCATTTTGTTAATCTTTAATCCGAAATGTCGATAAATGGAATATAAGTTTATGTTATGCTATCCTTCTTATTTCTGCAAAAGCGGTTTAAGTAAACTTTGTACATAATTGGTGCCAACAAAATATTTCAGTTGTCATAGGAACTTAACTGTGACGAGTCTAAAACATCAGACGTTTATAGTGGTCGGGAGCCTATCTGTAGTAGTATATTTCCGTGTTACATATGTGATTCATCTCTATTTTATATATACATATATGGGCAGATATTTTAATCACATTAAGTTCATCCGAATACAAGTAACTAGGCTGATGTAACATAATGTCTCCGACTAAACTGAAAAGTATGACATCTGGCTGGGAGAGTGGAAAAAAATTTGATTGCCACCCTAAATAGAGACTCTATGTCATTGTGAAGCCGAACATGGAGCTACTTTTTTCTGCGTTCTTCCAGTTTCATGCACACATTTGTACAGACTAATGCACGACCCACGTCTATGTAATTGTTCTAAAATGAGAGACGCTCGTCAATCAACCGTTGTCATCCGTCATTTACAGCTAAGTAGATTATTTTGGTTTGTACTAGTGCAAAGCCTGACGTTGATGAATTAATCAGCTGGTTAGCAGTTGCCAGATGGGCAGTATTTTTCCCTGTGAGTGGAATTAATGCTGGTCAGGAGCAGATGTTTTTAGAAAGGGGACCACCTTAGTTAGTTTATTGACGTAAGACTTCGAATATATTCCCAATATTCCTTTCCGTTTCATCCAGTTTCTCTACATGATTTCTAAAATCTTATACCATTGTGACTATCTGAGCGTAGCTGGACACTACCCAGTTCAGGTGGCGAAAAGTGAACACACGGTGACGAGGTAGTCTATTTGTGAATGTCTTTTCAAGTCAGGTTGCTCAGCTCATACGCAGAGTTAAACTTAGGCACTCTAAAAGTTTGCTTTTGTCACCTATGTGTAGCTGAAGTATTGGCCATACATATACATAAACGGGAACGTAAATCTCTTAATACCCATTTACATCTTCAATTAAGTTTTGTAATTCTGTAGTTCATCTGCTTCAACCCTATCTACCTCCTTAAGTTATATTAATTATTTTTATTCTTACCACATATATATTGACTGATCAATTCTCAGTACCGCTTGATGTTTATTTTTACAGTTTGAAAGTTGCTGAACAGGTCTTTGTATTTTCATCCTTCAAGAAAGCCAAGATATTTCTTTATCTACTGTCGTTGTCATTATATTTCAAGCTCTGTAGCGTAAGAGTACTCATTAGCTACAAATGGGCAGAGTTCCGTCTTTATTTACAGTATTTTAAAATAGTAGTGGAACCTGTCATTCATCTGTTGAAATATTCTTGATTTTCTCATTGTTTGTTATCACTGGATGCTTCAACATTCTAGACGATACGTGCTGAGTTCACGTCTCAGTGGGAACACCAGCACTTGCTAAGATGGAGTTACAACCAGTCACAAGTAAGATGAAACGTGCATCCTGTATTCCACGTTTGACTACGACCGCCTAAATGACATCAAGAACTGTCGTTCAGCTTTTCTGTTGGTAATATCTCATGTATTGTTTCTCTTTTTGGGAGTTTAAACTACTTTCCTATTTTCTATCACTAAATATTACATTTTTTATCCTTTTTTTTTTTAAAATAAAATGAAATATGCAAAATTATCAGTTCTCACTCTGAGAATGCTATCCCGCCTCCTAAACCACGAAGACTTTTCCGAAAGTTTTTATTTTTTGGCGTTTTGTCGATCGGTGCCTTCATTGGTTCACTGTACACATCTGAAACTGTCCGAAATGAATTAGTCACATACTATCCACCTTCAAAACAAATGTTAAATTGGGTTGAAAGTTCAATTGGTGGATGGTATTCTAGTGGTTCAGGAAAACAACAATCAGCTGTCACCCCACCAGTCAGCGATTTTCCTCTCCCACCCAAGTAAGTGATACAATTGAAAATGTGTTTTTTTTTTGTTTTCGGCTGGTATAACTATTATTCTTCAAGATTGCATTATATTCTATGTTTTGTTTTCTTGCTTTCGTTAACAATGTCGGCTTATATGACCTAGTTTAATGCAAAATAAGAAACCAAACGAAACTCACATATTTCACTTATTCGGTGTTGTACGCTAAATTTGAAAGTTCTTTTCTCTTACCAGGTTATCACAGCCCTTTATCTTTTAAAGTCTATTTCAAAGCGAATTAATGTCTTAAGCAGAAATACTGAACAGTTATAGAACCGTATATTTCGAGTTATTGAACAGTCTTTCTATAAGGTCATAGAATCGCAGTATAGTTTGTAGTGTGGTGTATGTTATACGTTCAAATATGAACCGCTCGATAATCATTTAGTGACAAGTAGGCATGCGTAAGCACATGTTTAATGAGCCTTGTACAAGCTATACAGAGTAAAAATTATAGCTGAATTTGGGTTAAACAAAAATTTCCGAACGTCTGTGAATTTAAAATAAGTTTTTAAATACTTCGAAGCTAATAATTCATCCATAGAAGAAGATCTCCACAAAACTATTACCTATATTACCACTAACATTCTGCGATTAGCTTGAAAACTTTACTGTTTCCACGCGTCATCTTAAATGTTAACAGGTCGTAGTGCCTTGAAGTAAACAAATGTTACATGAAGGAACACTGGATACTTTCCTCATCCTCATCAAGAGATATTCAGAAGTCCTTACGCACTACCCCACAAGAGATAAAGCCGGAAACGTTAGGTTAAAAAAATCAGTTTATCGCCATTCATTCATTCATTCACTGTGTTGAAATGTGTGATTTGTTAGGTCTATCAAACAGTATTCCAACATCACTATTCAGTGTCACAGTTGCGTAACTCTAGCTGCATTAGTGAACACCTCTCAGAGGAGCTTGCTGATTTCTATTCAAGGTAAGTTCTGTCTTCAAGTCAACCGAATCTACACAATCCCAGCATTTAAATTTGGAGTGTCCAGTAAAATATTGAGTCGTGTAGGAACATACGGTCAATTACATTTTACTACATAATAATACAATGAAAGGCTGATTTTAAACGCAATAATTAGCTACAATATCAGAACCAATGTTTCTACCTTATTGGGAATATGTTTGAGCCATGCAGTGTTTAATTTTCAATTATCATTCGCCGTGTTTATAATCCGCACCAACAGTTATTTTTTGGATAATTTATCAACACCTCGTAGTTCTTCTAATTTGTTGACACCGTCTTCCTGAACTGACTGAAAAACCGATTCAGTGATAATTAGATATCACTTATGTAACATGGTCCTACTGATCTTATCTGTGAGGTAGGATCATTTGTGTACGTTGAGTGCTTAACTGACTTGATAATTCCATGAATATTGAACCATGTAAAGACATTTACTGTACTTAAAGCTGATATCAACCAAAAAACTGACAGAAGAAGCAGATAAGACAGGACTTCAAGTAAACGCAGAGAAGCTGGAGCAACCAACCAACCAACAACAAGCACCAATCACTATCAGCGGAGAAATTTGAAAGAGGTTACTTCCTTTACGTATCTGATCTAGGCGACATCGTTTCAACTACAAGCGGAACTGGTGAGAATGTCAAAACCAGAATCGGAAAGGCAAGACAGACATAAATCACTCTGTAATCAGTGTGAAAATCTGCTGCAATTAGGGTAAAGAAAAAAAATTCGGATTTTCAATACAAATCTTAATTCAGTTTGTCTATTTGAATCAGAAACTTGACGTGTGCTTCACGAACAACATTCCCAACAGTCTCCAGACTTTTATCGACAGTTGAACTTTCTGGCTCCATACTGAAGATCCGATGACAGGTCAGAGAGAATTAGCAACAGGAAACTCTGGGAACAAACTAACCAAGAACCTGTTGTTCAACAAATATTCCAGAGAAAATGGAGATGGACTGTACACACGCTAAAGAGACCATTGGGTGACATCGCATGCCAGGCCATTGCTCGAGTAGAACCCTAATGGAAAAGGACGAATTGGGCATTGGTCCGAGGGTGGCATGGAGGAGAGGGTTAGGGACTATGAGCAATGGTGGGGCCAGCTAAAAAGGATCGAAGAGAATGGAAAAAGTGGAGTTGTGCTATTGAAGCCCTGTATTCCACTTCGAACCCGAGGGAACAATAATAAATAAATAAAGCTGATATCAATTCCAGGTGTGAGAAAGAAGTGATTTTATTGAGACGTATTCACATACCTTACTTATTTACAGATGAGTAGTAACGAAAGTTCTACGCAGAACATACTGATTTATGGTGTTCAGTTGGTGAGATACGATTTAATCGATAACTTGCGGTAGGGGATCACTTGACTGTCCTCTAGAGATATTGGTATCAATATAACACTGTATTGGTCTTCTATACCTTAATTTGAATATATATTTTTACTATTTTACTGCAGACAAAAACCTGAACCCACTCCTCCATCGAAACCTTCACCTAGTCCAGAACCCGCTAATGTAAGTTGTTTGAAATGATGAGATTTTAAAACTCTGTCTTAAGATACTTCTTTGTTTGTCTTCTAAGCTATGTTTAAAATATGCATTCATTAAGAATTGATAGGTTTCTCTTTTATGAAGGGACTTCTACACAGTTAGATTGGAAGTGCAATGATTGAGCACACTGATCACTTCACGTGGTTGAGAAGTGGTTTTACTCACAGTCTGTCAGTTAATCACAAAATCTCTGTACGAATAGAATTAATCATTTAGCATTTGTGTATGTATCTTATCAGTGGCGTCGATGATGCATTTACATACCTATCGAAGGTGGAATATAGTTTGCAAAGGTAGTGTTCTACATCCAAAGTGTCCTGGACTATCTGGTTGGGGTGTTTGCCATACTAAACATCAGTGTTCGGAAACTCATCGTGGGATGGCATAAAGTTTTTCATGCTGAAGCAAATGTATTTACTTTTGATTGTCTCCCTGATGTTAACCATCACTAACCTACCTGCATTTAGGTATCCTCTTAGTTACTTGTTCAAGTATTACTCTATTTCTATACCCTTATGTTTAGTGCTTTTAGAAGCTTGACAAACTTAAATTGATTCATTTCTCTTACAAACTTCTTTTTTGTTTCGTTAATCATTCATTTATACTTTTTTTAGACATTAAAAAACTAACGGTTTTTAGTTATCTGTGGTTTCGTAGCATCAACTTAGTGATGAACTCAGAGAGTAAGGAGTTCTAAGGTTGAGTATATGGTGCGATAAATGCGAATCATATATCGTAGGTAGGCTGTAGATGTATACTGCTTATCTTGGTCATCAGTCATAGTTTCGGTAGATTTCAGTTAGGAAAAGGATGTGAGGGTAATTTGTATAGTCTTCAGCTTTCATTGTTATAAAAGTTTTTGTGTTTCTCAGTGAATAAAAAACAAAACAAAGTTGTTTTTATTGACGTTTCGCTATTTAATGCTAATAGCCTTATCAAAGTAGTACTCCTAAACCAGAATTGACAAAATCTCAGCTTATATTTAACAACTTAATCACTGTTCGTCAGCATGCGGTAATTTTTACGTTGTCAAGTTGGCCGATTGGTAAATTATTAGATTTGACAAGTGTATAAAATTACAAAAATAGCATGTGTTTGCACAATGAAATTGCTTATCACGTTCGTGTTTATTTTGTCACTTCATGGGGTAGGGGGGGCGTGGTAACCAGGTCAAATTCTGTTTTAGTCCAACATTCCTATTCAGACAATTTGGATTCCATTTGATATGAAGTGCTTCTGATATTAAACGTTTTTTGTGATTTCTGAAATTTTTCCTGATTATTTCAATATTGTCAAAATCAATTTTGTGGTCTGATTCTATAGCGTGTAGACCTATCGCTGGTGATTTTTCAAGCCTTTCTAGTTCAACTGGATTTCTCCGTGGTTGGTCGAACGGGTGCTCTACGGTGTTCATTTCTTCTGATTTTGATTTCTCGAGATGTTTGTCCGATGTATATCGTATCACATTCCAATCATTTTATTTTGTAGACACATTTAGATTGAGAATCCTTAGGGATTCGCTCTTGTACATGGAAAAGGTTGCTTTGTAGTGTATCTGATGTTTTGAAGGAAACCCTGATTTGTTTATTGACTACTCTTCCGATATCGTGTGACGTTTCTGATGTATATAAAATGACAGCTGTTGAGGCCCATATATTCAGAATACGTTTTTGATCATATTTAATGTCGGTGTTGATTTTGTTGATGAAGTTCTTCGGGTAGTTATTTTTCTTGAGAGTCTCAGTAATGTTTGATATTTCTTCTTCTTGGTAAAGCTATCGGCATTAAACAGCGAAACGTCAGTAAAAACAATATTTTTGTTTTACATTCATTTAGAAATACAAAAACTCTTATAATAATGAATATCATATACCCAATGCCCAAATTTTTTCAAACTGTTAAAAGTGAACTTGGTTTGGACATATAGTCTTCAGCTTTTATTTTGAGTGATGTAAGATAGCGTGGTCCTACATTGTTGTAGTCCTGAAAATTGTGGGAATCAGTGATCACAAGCCAGTTTATACGGTTCAGAAGAGATCATAGAAGCTTAGATGTACTCACCCTCCGCTATTTTCAAAGACATCACTAATTACCTTAATTTATTTGAGACCTTTTTGGAAACTTGATCTCTCACGCTTTTTCTCTTTTTGTTTATGTTTGTAATAATTTTTTTCAATATGATTATTGTCTCTACATATCTTTGAATTAACTATATCTCTACAAGCCAAATTTTGGAATATTAACCTACTGCCTATTGGTGACTGATTTCTGAAGCTTTATGGATCAGTCGTGTGATACTAGTCGATAGCAGTAACTCTTTGTCTTGGATTGACAGAGGTTAAAATTCATTGACTATTCGATTCCACTATTGTAGATAAGTAGTGACAGTCCCCCTCCGTTGTAACGTAATTATCCAGAGTTTGTTTTCTCATGAGGTTGTAGATTAGGGCTGCTAAAAAAGCATCTACTCAATGCTTTCTGGTTTCCAATGGTTTTCCTAATAATATCAGTTAGCAGCGAAATTTCTTTTTTTGGCTATCGGGATTTTACGTAAATTATTGGTTTATAAAAGTTAATGTTCAAGTATTGGCTTGTAGAGATTTGATTGATTGGTTATAGGATTTCATCATGAGCTGACATCTGTTAGAGATCCATTGGAAAACCTGGTAGTACTGGACAGCTGTTTTATCCCGGTTTGGGGCTCTTCATAAGTACGCACCCACCAGAGCTCAAGCTCAGGACCCTCTGGTTATAAGGCGAACTCGCAGACCATTGAGTCACTGGGACCCGATCCATTGGCCAATCCATGAATTGTAACTTCTGCCAATTTACGACATAGCGCGACCGCTAGCTAATGTCTTTGGCGAGTATTTTTCCTCACACCCGACCTGCTTCACTCTACTGATCACGATTTACCACTAGAACCCCAGATAACTACCTAGCTGAATAGGACCAGTCGCTAGTGGGCATCCCATTGATATTCAAGTATTGATTTGTAGGGACGAAACAGCTGTCCAGTACTCCCAGGTTTTCCAATGGTTCTCTAACCGATGTCAGCTAAGAAGGTAATGTGTTGATAAACATTCATTTATACTTGTTTTTAGTATAATATGCGATGTGCTTTTTAAAATTTTAGGTTGAGAAAGAAAAACCTCCCTTACCAACTGAAGAAGAGGTCAAAGATATGATAAGTAGACGTCATATACCATTGATGAATGTAGAGTTGAGTAAGTTTGTGTAAATTTTCTATTTTCATTCCTTTATCCTGAAAAATGCTCTTCCATTGAGTAAAAGAAGTGTGTAAATAAATGTTAGACAGCTGATCATAGTGATTGCTGTTACAGTCTCACATACAAGTGATGTCAAAATCACTCAAAACAGTCATAGGTACATATTCACTTGACTCATAGAAAAAAGGAGACTCCTTCTAAAATGTTGATACTTCATCAGTTATTTCATTCATAAACATATTCAGTAGAAGGTATTGCTTATTAATTGATTAGAGATGTCCATTATAAATTCTAAAAGACTGATTAGTGAACAAAAGATATTCTTTTCGATAATTTCATCAGGTTCTACAGCTTTATCTTCGTAATAAGTGTGATGCTTGTCTTCCGATTTGACAAAAGGTGTCCTGATGTTTAATACTCCAATATGAAGTTGGCTTTGTGGCTTTAAGAGACTATCGATAGTGCTTTTCCGGCTCTTGTTGCTATTATTGATCACAGAGTGAAAAGAAAATGGGATACCTGCCTTTAGAATGGTATTAACAGATAAGGAGTGAAGTGGTAGGGTATGTTGACCACTTTACTTATTTGAGAAGTTGCATCAACCTCAACTGACTGATTGCTGACGAAATCTCACCACGGATACAAAAGGCCCGTGTGACATTTGCCAACTTACACCATATTTGGTGTAGACATGATATCTGCCCATCTCTAAAAGAATGTGTGTACTGCTCAGCAGTTCGCTTCGCTCTCCTTTATCACAGTGAGACATGGCTATTGAAAGTGGAGGCTAGTTGTCTTTGATCATGACTGACTGGTTTCAACATAGAACCTTGCACCGAAGTACAGCAGTTCGAATCACCACACTTCACCCAGCACACAAAGCCAGAAAGGAAAGTAAAAAGAAACGCGAAATAGAGACAGTAAACAGAGATATGAGGCAAAAAGAATATTAATAACGAAGAACAATATAGTACCATTGGAAATTATAAGTCACAAGGAGTGGATGCATATGCGCTGTCATTGAGAACGATTTTGAGCCATATCACCGATTGTCTCCAGCCTTCATTGGTTTTTACCTTCCCGAGGACCCCAACCAGGAAGTCTACACCTTGCTACTTGGCTGAAACTAACTGTTTTAGATTTCACTGACTGGTCCCATGTTTTGGTTTGACCACCACTGTCTCTTTTCCAACCTGATCCTACGTCAGCTAACATTGCCTATTGTCGAGGAAGGCGATTGGTAGGCTGGGCATGCGTAGCACATGTCCTAACCATCTCAGTCTGTGTAGCTTCACAGCCTTGTCTATTGATTTCCCCTCCTTACCTAGCACTCGACACCTAATCTCAATATCGCTCACCCTATTATACCACCTCACACAGGAGATAAAACGCAGGCACCTATGATCAAAGATAGCTAGCCTTTTCATGTCTTCCACTCAGTCTTTGATCATACGTATAGGAGTTCTGTCTCCCGTATTAGGTTATGTAATATGATGAGTAATATTGAGGTTAGGTGTAGAGTGTTAAGTAAGGAGGGGAAATCAGTTGACGAGGTTGTGAAGCTACGTTGATTGAGATGGTTAGGGTATGTGTTACTCATGCCTAGCCAGCACCTTCTTCGATGTGCAGTGTTAGCTGATATAGGATTAGGTTAGAAAAGAGTTAGCTAGTAGTGGCCAATTCAAAACTCGGAATCGATCCATGAAATTCTTGAAAGTTAGTTTGAGGTACTCAGAGTAGTGTAGACTCCCTGGTTAGAGTCTTACGGATTCTAAGAACCAGTGGCTAGAGACAATTGGTGATATGACTCGAAATCGTTCGCAACGATGGCGCAGATGTATTCACTTTTTGTGATATGCCATATCCATTAACCTATTGTTTTCCCTGTTATACTATTCTTTCTCCCTCACAATTCTGCCTGTTATCGTTGCTTCGAATCTTCAAATGATGATCTTGAAATCATGGTCAGGGTTGATAGAGGAGTGAGTGACAGAAGTCGATCAAGTGTTCTAGCATAGATCTTCGCACACACCGCGTTTCTTTTCTGCCTTGTAAAACCATGCCGCTTGAAAATGTTCTTGTTGTTTAATAACTTGTGATACTGTTCAATGATCAGCTTTAGATTTTTCGTCTTTGTTTTGTTATCTGTACATTTCTGAAGTAATTTTTAAGCGTAATGTGTAAACTAAATTGTCATTACTAGTATTAATAAATATATATATTTTTGCAATACTATTTCTACAGATGATTTGCCTATTCTTGTCAGTGAAACAGAAAGTAAAGTGGAAAATGCCAAAATCAAATTAAAAGAACTTGAATCAATCACAGTGAAATATATTGATGCACTTCGTGCTGCTGTACAGGATAATAATGTAGGTTTTTTTTTGTTTAGTTGACACACCATCGTGTAGATGGAAGTGAAATATTTCCCAGTCAGAATATTTGAAGTAACTAGCAGCTTCAGTTCAGCCAGCTGACCTAATGTTGTAATAGGCTGATGATTTAGGTGAAGGGAAAGCTTGGTCTATGGCGGCCTTGTTTTCTGGTTAATGTGGAGTTGTGTGCAAATGCCTGCAAGGTACAAGTTTTAACCCCATGTTAACTGATTTATTGGGTTTCAATACAGAACAAAACGTAGCAGTCACATCCTCTGCTATCTAGGATCCATCAAGTCGGTTGTAGCTACCTTCCAGTGGGCGATGTTGTTCGAGCTTGATGATCTTAGCCTAAGGCTCTAGGGGGTTGCTCAAAAGATCATAAGTCACTTATAATTTTTCTCAAAAGTTAGTTTATAGGGGTTTGATTGATATCAGTTGGGGAACCATTGAAAACCAGGGAGTAGTAGACAACTGTTTCGTTCTAGGTTTAGGACTCGTTGGCAGAACGCACCTACCAGATATCGAACCCAGGACATTCCGGTAACAAGTCAAGCTAGGAAACCATTAAGCCACTGCGACATGACTCAACGGCCCATGATTTATCAATCCGTAGTTAAACTTGAAACAAATCAAATTCCTAGAAACCTGCTCTTAGAAATTGTTCTACTGCTCGCTGGTGATTGGCTACAGGACGAATTTGCCTGGAGTCCTAGTGAGAAGTCATCTTTGGGATCTAACCGGTTGGGCTTGAGGATAAATACTCACCAGTAAAATTGGCTGGTAGTTGTGCTAAAAGTCAAAAATTGGTAGAAGTTAGAATTCATGGGTGGGAAAGTGTTTGATTAATACAAAGTTAAATAAACACTAGGATGAAGTCATAGAATACGTCTTTGAGCATACATTCCAATGTACTCAAATAGCAGTTGCCTCCAAATTGCGATATAATTACACAAATAATATTCGAATTTCAGTTTGGTGGGGATTCGATTGACCAAAAGATCACCGAACAGCTATTTCATCTTAGTTTGGAAGTCTTCAGCAATGTGAATCCATGCTCCCGCCAGTAATTAGACTCAGGAGCCTTCAGATTATGGGCATGGTACGTTGACCGTTCTGACACTGTTGGAATTCAGTGTGTTGTGAATTCTAACTTCCGTCAAGCCTTAAAATAGCACCATCATCGCAAACTTATTTCGTTGGTGAGCATACGATTCGCGTTCAATGCCTGGTAGGGTTTTAGTTGGGCGTTACTGAGGGGTCTTTATGTGGGACAAAACAACCATTCAGGGCTTTCCAGCCTTCAGTGAATGTCCTGACGAAATACCAACCGATAAAACAGAATGGCTTAAATTGTCAATTACAGCTGGAAAAATAGATTTATGTTACTTTACAAAGCGACTAAGGGATGCACTGAATGCGGAATGCCTCCCGTAACAAACTGGATTCAGATAAAGCCAATCATGTGCTGATCAAATTGCAACTTTACACGTCATCTTACGTAAAATAGAGCATAGAATGACAGTCCAATGTCTGCCTCATCTGCATCGACTTTGAAAAAGCCTTCAAGAGCGTTGATCGTGGGGTGATTTGGAAGCTATTTCAACACTATGGAGTGCAGTGCGCAAATCCTTATTAACCTTATATGACAGCTATATAACAATGACAGATGTCGAGTGATTCACAACTGAAAACTCAGTAAAACCTCTGCAGTGATGACAAAAGCAAGACAATTCTACCTACTGTCACCTATGATATTGTTAATTGCGGTGGACTGGATCATGCGATACACTGTGGAGAGCGAGGAGACAGGAATTACGTTGGACTTGTAATAAGACTCTAAAAGATATCGACTTCGTAAACCATTTACATCCAATGTCACATGAATTCACATAAACCTTCATCACTCTGAAATCAGTGTGGCAATCTGCCGCAATCAGCGTAAAGAACAAAATTCGGATTTTCAACAGCATTGTTGAGTCAGTCACTTGTTCTAAATGTTCAGAAACTTGCACTGCGCGTCACAAAAGGCGTTTCCAACAAGCTTTAGACTTTCATCAACAGCTGCCTTCGTTGGCTGCATACTGAAGATCAGATGACTGGCCAGAAAGATTTAGCAATGAGAAACTCTGAAAACGAACCAATCAAGAACCTATCGGTTAACAAATATTCCGAAGAAAGTGGAGATTCATCGGATACACGCTTAGGCGACAGTCGAGTGACATCACGACCTAGGCCATCGCTCTAGTGGAACCCGAATGGCAAATGGCGAGTTGGGCAATGGTCTGAGGGTGGTGACATGGGGGGTGGAGATCGTGTGAGGAGGATATAATATGTACTGAGTATTTTTGTAATCAAATGACTTTTTGTTTTCTGGTTATATAAACTGTTCTAAAGGAAATTTTTACCTTTCAAAATTTTATTTATTAGTCGTCGTCTAAACAGAAAAATTGGGATGTTGTTGGACGACTTGAAATGGCTAAAAATAGAACAGAAGAACAAGTGGAACAAATTGTTGAACATACTAAGTGAGTAAGCATCTATTTTACTATGTTGTAAAACAATGCATACTTTGTTTAAACTAAATAAATCAATATTCAAGTATTGGTTTGTAGGGATTTGATTGATTGGTCACAGGATTTCATCATGAGCTGGCATTGGTTAGAGAATGATTGGAAAACCTGCAGGGAGTACTGGGCAGCTGTTTCATCCCAGTTTGGGACTCTTCACAGTACGCAGCCGCCGGGGTTCGAACCTAGGACCTGTAACCAATAATTCAAATCCCTACAAACCAATACTTGAATATCAGTGAGATGCTCACTAGTGACTGGCTCTATTCAGGCAGGTAGTTACCAGGGGTTCTAGTGGGAAGTCATGACCAGTAGGGTACAACAGGTAGGATGTGAGGACAAATACTCGCCGAAGACATTAACTAGCGGTCGCGTTAAATCGTGAATTGGCAGAAGTTAGAATTCATGTGCTGGTCGTTGGATCGGGTCCCAGTGACTTAATGGTCTACGAGCTAGCTCGCCTTGTAACCAGAAGGTTGTGGGTTTGAACCCTGGTGGGTAGGTCCCTACTGCTGAAGATTCCAAAACTAGGACGAAACAGCTGTCTGTCCAGCACTCCCAGGTTTTCCAATGGTTCTCTAACTGATGTCAGCTTATGATGAAATCCGCCAACCAATCAAACAAAATCCCTACAAAGCCCGTACTTGAAGACTAAGTAATAAGCGAAAGAGTATGATTGTTGTGAGAGATGGCATAATTCATTATGAATTTTGTCTCTTTTCCATCCTTGTGCGTCAGTGGTTCAGTGGTAGGATATTCTCTTAAGTACACCTGACGACTTGGTCTAGGATTTTATTCCCGGCTGACACACACTCCTTAACCTCGCGTAGCCGGTAGTAAACCCTCTGTAAAGAGGGAAAGTTGAGCATATTAGGCTAACAACCTCACCTCCACGAAAACACCACTACTATCGTAACTTCAAAGCTGAAGCTTGTAGCCCTATGTTCCAATCGGAACGCATAAGAATAAAATAGTAATGTATTATCTCCTTTTTTAAAATGTCTGCTTGATATATCATCGTTTTATTCATTTATTTATTCATGCAGTCAACAACTTGAAGAGTTACATTATGCTATTGAACAGCACAAGAATACAGAAAAGGCATTAGAGAATAATATTATCCCTGAGTCAATTGAAGCCTATGGAAATCTACAATATGAATTAACTGGAGCTATTAATCAAGTGAGCTTTTGTCTATCTGTCTGTCCACCTATCGATCATTTTTGTATATGTAATGTAAATTTTAAAAAGGAACAAATGGATATAGGTTAGCGGAAGGAGTATTCTTTTTTCTTAACTTCCCTTCAAAAACTGTACAGTTAGTTATATAGTGTTCTAAAGCATCATGGTAGTGTGTGTCGTGGGCAGTTGTTAATATTGTGTAAATAATTTAATAATACCCATTGAAACACTAAGGACGGAATATTCAGCGAAGAGACTCTTTTCAACGAATTTATTATCCAACTGTACAATCGTATATATATATATATATGGTTTTTAAGAAGTTATATCCGGTTAGGGAATTGAAACATAGGTGTGAATGCATGAAATAATAATATATATATGTATATATATATATATGATGAAAATACATTGTCAGGGAAAATAATAATGATAAATACACTTTATACATAGTCTGAATCTCTTATATCTATATCAATAATATTCTTGTTTACCAAGTGCTTAATAGCAATCATGTGTTGGCGATATTCACCCTTTAATGTTTTAAGATTACAAAAGACTGTGTGTAATTTACTCATTGATTTCCCACTGATATGATATGTAATTTCATATGTTTTGTCACCAAGTGATATTAACAGTTGTCCTCTAAATAAGCGGCTTCCATGACCTTTTAGAAAACTTATATAATTAACTGTACATCTTTTGAAAGGAAGTTATGTGAAGAATGTTCATTTCTTGACCTATATCTTTTTTAATTAAAAAGACGGTTGTAGTGAAAAAAATTTTCCTTTTGATGAAGTCATCGATTAGACTGTACATTCCTGTATGTGACTGAGTGACTGACTGACTGCTTTCAGCGTAGAACTTTCCACAGATGTCCACCAGTTCAAGTTACCACACTCCCTTCTTGTAGCACACAAATCAAGAGAAGAGAGTAAAGACAAGTAGTAAACAGAAATATGAGGCTACAAGAATACTAATATGGAAGAACAATAGAATTTTATTGGATATTACAAGTCATAAAGAGTGGACTCTTCTGCGCCAGCCATTGGAAACGATTTTGAGCCATATCACCAATTGTCTCAAGTCGTCATTGGTTTTTACCATCCCGAAGACCCCAACCAGTGAGGAAGTCTACACCTTCCTACGTGGCTTAAACTAACTGTTGTGGATTTCATTGACTGATGAAGCCATGTTTTGGTTTGCCAATACTAGCCCTTTTCCAACCTGATCGTATGTCAGCTAACATTGCCTGTTGTCGAGGAAGGCGATGGGTAGGCTAGGCATGTATAGCACATACCCTAACCATCTCAGTCGGTGTAATTTCACAGTCGGATCTATTGGTTTCCTATCCTTACTTAGCAATCGACGCCTAATATTCTAGTATGTATAGTAAACGAGTGAGAAAGTTCCCGAACTGTTTCCCCAGTAGAGGGTCAAATTATAACGAATAACAAGACTATAAATAGGGATTAAAAATGTGTTGATAACAAAATAAACAGTAAGTTTGGATAAAAAAAGTAGCCAGTTAATAATTATTGGGAAAATTTACTGTTCATAATGGCCTTGGTGTAGACAAAGTTTGGGCTTACTTCTTTTAAATTTAAAGTGAATCTGAACGAAAAGTATTCTTTTGAATAAATTTTCTTCAGGTTCTTGCAACTATAAAAATACTTCTTTTTATTACACAGAGTTGACTTGAATTTTTGGATCATTAGTGCCTCTGTTATGTCCAGATGCTTTGATTTAGAGGTGCAATTGGATCTTATATACAACTTTGAAGAACTTTTTAAATGGAGTTGGGATGTCTTGAGTTCACCAGATGTTCTGTTACTGAGCTATAGACACGCTTGCAGTTTCCCTTTGCTAGCTAGGCTGGATTGTGTTCCCAAGCAGTTTTTACAGGTGGGCACATAGTACGATCAATGTACTCAGCTTCACAGAAGCAAGTGAACCGTTATATGCATGTTAATGTGGTCCAACGTGACAGATTGTCTTTCATGTGCTTGCCGAACAGTTTCTTGGTAGAAAATGTTACTTTTAGGTTGGCAGCGAAGTATGTTTTTCTAAAAGATTTTGAAAGCCGTTTTCGGAGAATTTCTACTTCGGTATCACTTTTAAATTCGAGGTTAAGGAGCAGCACCGTTATGGGGGCGATTTAGACCTCTTCAGAAGGTTTCTTTGGTTTTAGCTTCTTGTTTATAAATCTCAGTGGGAAACAATTTTCCATCAAGATTCTTAGGAGATTTTGCAATTTTTCGTTAACATATTCATTAGTTCATTTTCTCTAGGTCCTTGAGGAAAGAGAATAGATGAAATTCCTCTCTTTACTTAGAGGAACAGAACTTTCCATGTGGGCGTTTTGTAGATAGATCTCCTCAGTGAGTTATCAACACTTCTTCGTATTTGAACATCGAGGAGACGGAACGTAGATTCAACTTCTAAAGTGAAGTTGTTTTTTTGGTTGGGCATTATTGAAGGTTGATAAAAATACACCAACTCAGTGGACTTATCTAGCAACTAAATCTTGTATGTAGCTTATTGCCCCTTAAGCATTGGATTTTCAGCCAGTAAGTGTGCTGGGTTTCGAATCCTTCTCCACCCCCCCTACTTCAGCCCTCGCATGTTAAGTATGACTCTTAACCTTGTATGTATGTGTGTGTGTGTGTGGAAAATCTGTTCCGGATAATTGAGTTATCTTCACTTTTCGATAGTGTCTAGTTGTATAATTTGGTCTTTTCTCATACTGCTCTCCTCGTCTTGTTTACACTTTCAGGTACGTAAATTACAGAATGATATTGCTATGCTTAAACGTTATCGTGATTTAGTCTCAGCTTCACATGGTGACTTGCAAGATGATCTGGAAGCACTGCTAGAACATATTGATAGAAAAACACCAAATAAAGGTAGTTTTGTTTGTTGTTTGCCTGCTGATTGTATGGAGGCTGTGTTAGTAGAGTTGATGATCGTTGCTCAGCATTGTTTTATACAGCTATTTTACTTTTTTCTACAAGTAATAACTAAACTGTGATATTATTACTTTAAAATCAATACTTATCATCATTGTTATTATTATTGTTGTTATTTGTTAGGTACTGAGTCTATGAATGTGGATGAATTGAATGATCTGATTTCAGTGGCACATGCTCGCATTGCTTCATTACAAAAGAAATTAGATCATTTAGAGCATAGTGAAAAAGAACGTATGAAATCAGCTATGGATGCACAACGTCGTGCAGATGAATCACTGCGTGAACAATATGTAAAACAAGAATTAGATTTGGAAAGAAGTAGACATGATATTGAAAGGCATAAATGGGTAAGTCAGTCTTCTTTTTTTTCTAATTTATTGTAAACTATTTTGTGATTGGTTACTATCGTTGCAGCCCCATGTGTCCTTCGTTTCTTCTTAAGTTATGTGTCTGATGAACTGTTTAATGTCTTTATTCAGGTTTTAGGTTATATGAATGTGTAGATGCATTTTGTTGAGAAGTACGCTCGTGGTCCAGTAGTATAGTTTAACGACAGAAGACAAAGGCTAGGCAACAGATTGTTTATTGAGAAAATCAAGTGTTATTTATAGATTTTTATGTGCATTATTGTCGACGGAGAAGAAACGTCTTCTGATTGGTTGTTTTCTCGCTGAAGGTTATTCTGTATTGCTTTGTAACCGTTCCTCAAAAAATTAAGCCATATATCTGCGAATCATATATTCCACACGTTAAGTCTGCTGTGATTGGTTGGTGATTTTCTTAAGGTTAAGCTTTGGTATCGGTTTTCTCATCGTGGTCCAGATTTGAGACGTAATATTGACGTAAATTGTTGTTTACACTTGTGGCTTGTTCGTAGCCAGCTCTCACCACAGCAGAATATTCAACAGTCACGTGGTAGGTCCTGGTTCGATTCCTGGTGAACATCTCAACCAAATGTCGCCCAGTTTAATAGCTATGCAACTAGCAACTCCAATACATAAAACACATCGCAACCACTATTAAAACTTCTAGTTTGAAGCCCTATGTTCCACTCAAAAGGCAAACGAATTATTAAAAAATCTAATGTAAAGGTACTATTTGAGCATACCGGTGAGGCTAAGCTCAGATTCTTGAGTGAGTCCCGTAGTTCACTTGATGAAGTATGTTCATCGCACATACCCAGTATCTATTTCAGGTAGTCTTTTCAACGTAAGAAAGTTTACTTCGGAAAAATGGAAACCAGTTTGAGCTACTGAAGAAGGTGTAGGTTACTGAGCTGAGTTGCATACATGAAGCGATACGAATTAAGTGTATTCATGATACTTTTTTATGTGTTCTTATTCTCTTTTTTCCTTGTGTGCTATAGCATTCTGAGACATTTGTTTGTGTAATTTTCATCTCTTTGTCCCTCCTCTTATCTACTTCATGAGTGGGAATTCAAATCTTTACGTGGTCTTACTGACTGGCTTAGTTTCAACATTAAACTTCACACAGAAGTCAGAAGTTCAAGTTGTAGCTAATGTAATCTAAGAAAGATTTGATCATGAGCTGAGATCAGTTAGAGAACCATTGCAAAACCAGGGAGTACTGAATAGTTGATTCGTACCCTCTAGCGACATGCGCCCTCAAACAGGGTTCGAACCCAGGATCTTCCGGTCACAAGGCTAGCTCACAGACCAATCAGCCACTGGAACCTGATCCATTGGCCCATGAATCCCAACTCCTGCCAGTTCGTGATACATATAGAGCGCAACTGACAGCTATTGTCAGCGACAAGTAACTGTTTTCTTACACGACTGATCAGGACTTCTCACTGGAACTCCAGGTAACTTCGTGTATAGAGATAGTCTCTGGTGAGTATCAGATTGATTTTCAAGTGTTGGCTTGCAGGGATTCCATCGGCTACATGTTTGGCTATGAGCTGACATTCGTTAGTGAAGGTCCTAGGTCCTAGAACCCGGATGAGCGTGCTCTAATGAAGAGCCTCAAACCGGGACGAAACAGTTGTCTTGTTACTCCTTGATTTCCCAGTGCTTATCTAACTGATGTCACCCGCTGATCAATTCTGTAATTAATCAAATCCTTGCAAACCATACAGTAGAAAATTGGTTTCAAGTAGTTTGCGGTCCATTTAAAATTATGAAATAAAACTTTATATGGTGAAAATTTATTGTGGTATTATGCTTTGTTTTGTTGATATTTAATCGAGAAAAATCACATGTGTATGCAAGATTAAAACGTTTGTTTTCATCATGGATCTTCAAAACTCTTGTCAATAAACAAATAAATTGTTTTACTTTTTTGTAGTTCAGCTAGACAATTTAGAACTCGTTTCTGGCATACAATTGAGGGTAATTGTTCTTTCCTCAAGTCAACAATTTTAGAATCTTTGCTTTAAATGCTTGAGACTTTTCGTTTTTTCTTGATGAACAGTGATGCTTTCATGTTTGATCAAACCACCACCTGAGAAGTGTTGAATTTAGGCTTAGAGTCCTAGGTGTGAGTGTTAAGTCAGTCGAGAGGAAACACAAATATTTGGTGCCTGAGATTGTGTAATATTATTAATATTCCCTTGGGTTCCGAGTGGAACATAGGGCTTCGATATCACATCAAAATTACATCCTGTTCTCTGCAGTCCTCGTTAGCTAACCCCATGATTGCCCGTAAACTTTCCTATCTTCCATGTCACCCTTGGTCCAATATCCAACTGTTCGTTTCCTGTTCAGGTTCCACTTGAGCAATCACCTGGTGCGTGTTATTTCCCTATGGGTCACCTTAGTGTGTGTTCGGTAGGTTCTTGGCTGATTTGTTCCCAAGATTTCTTGTTGGTAATTCTTTCTGGCCTGCCATTTGATCTTTAATGTGGAACCGGTGAAGGCAGCTGTTGATAAAATTCTAGAGCCTTGAGATCGTTTAGTCATACACATATATATGTCACATTCTTAGTGATAGTTTAGGTTGACGTTTTGTGTTCGCGCGAATAGGACGTATCTGAAGAGAACTTGGAAGAAGACTAGACCTAAATGTGTCACCAGTCCACATCGTGTTGTTAACTTTTGGTTTTTATTTCTATTAAGGAAGTGTGGGGGCTGCCTTGCCACTGGCATTCACGCCACCACCTATTAAGGGACATTGGCTGATGTTGGGTTGAGAATTATTTTCAGCAGAGCTGACTCCCTTCTACCTTATTGTCTTCTCACATTTAATATCATATTTTTATTTCTTTTTAAACATTCGTATCCTTTTTGGTTCATTTTACAACTTTTGTTTGTCTTAATGCTACCTTTTTCTGCGTAACTCTCAATTACCCGTCAGTTAATATACGGGTATGAGTTATTTTGACTGGCAGTAATGTCAAAGGCCAACTTAAAGTATAACAACCAAGGAGTGCCAAGGTACCAATGATCTTGAACGCATATGAATGCAGTACTCAACCTAGTATTTCAGCACTCTCTGAATAACAGACCCATAGGAAGAAAGAAAAACTGTAGATGTTGAGAAGTAATGTGTTCACATAGATACGCAGCCGCTTTTGATAGGTATGTGTACAGATGTCCAGGTTGTCACTGTAGAAAATCTGTTCGAGAAGGTATGTCTTTCCTTTTCTAAGGTCAAGGACGTTGTAGAGCAGTGAATGGGTCATGGGACAGGGTTATACACGCTTATCTGGATGAATTTATGTACTGAAATTATTTTTTGGTTTATCGTTGAATACTCCAATGAGGAGATATTGTTGAAACACGTATGGGAACGTTGTCCTGTTTAACTAATTTTAACACTATATTTGACTCCTATAAAAACATCAATTACACAGTTTTACCATGAACCCATCTGATTGGCTCATAAAGATTTATCAAGGTCATTGTGACGTCCCCTGACTTGGGTCGCTTATAGTTTAGGGTATTTAAAAACGAGGACGGGGCGAAATTCCCATTTCAGTTCGTGCGCATCGTTCATAGTGGCGCTGTAGTAATGACAGGTCCTGTAATCCAATGAACAGTGTGCGCTCAAGGTCGTTGGTGCATTCGTACTCCCTTAAGTTGACCATGTCAAGTTCTGCGTTTGGTAGTGACTAGCTAGGTGACCATGATCTAATATAACAGTAATCTATTTTCCGCTCTCATTGGATTTTCTTTTAACTTCTTATTTTCTTTTTTTCCTTTTCCTTTTCTACTCATTTCAGTTACTACAAGCTCGTGAAAATACAGAACGTGAGCTGAAATTAGCACTGGCTAGACATAGTGAACATCTTTCACATATGTTACAATTGGAACGAGATAAAATGGAGCATGAATTTCAATTTCGTCTTCGTGAAGCATTAGCTAAAGAAAGAGTTACCTTTGAAGCTGCACTTGTTGGCTGGCGGAAGCGTATGGAAGCTATAGAGGATGTTGTTGATGGTTAGTTAAGCGGTTGTTTGCTGGTTTGTTTGTTTGATTTTTTGTTCATTTTGGGATTAACTATGTAATAAGAGCAATAACAAACAATTGAAGTGAATTAAAACGTATTGTGGCTTGTGCTACTGGCAAGACTTATAAGTAGTATATATATACAGATATAAATATATGTATCATCTGCAATTATGTCGATTAGCGAAGAGATAGATTTGATGAACGATGCTTGTGAAACAATATGGAATACATGAAAGGAAGATAAAGAAGCACAAAACTGAAGACATGTGCAAATTGTGACTCTAATATATGGTAGATGTATTCTGCCTATGTTCGCTGGTGGTTCAGCAGTGGAACGTTTTCCAACCACCCCTGACAGTGGTCCGGGGGTCGGTCTGCGGTCGACTCACTCCTAAACCTTGCTATAGCTGGTAGTAAGGGTGGTAAAGAAGAAAAGTTTGGCCTGTGAGGCTAACAACCCTACCCCGTCTGAAATAATAAAGCGATATATAGTGACATTCTAGATTCAACATACTTCAGTTCCAGGCTAGACCACGAGCTGGCATCAGTTGGAGAACAACTGAAAACCAAGGAGTATTGGGCAGTTATTTTGCCCTCTGTTTTTGGACTCTCGATCAGTTCGCACGCATGAGCCCGTCGGGAATCGAACCCAGGACTTCAAAGTTACGAGGTTGAACCTTTTGACCACTTAGTCATGCGGACGGGATCCAATGGTCAGCCCATGAATTTTAACTTCACTTCACTATGAAAAAAGAGGTAAAATGGTAGTCAGCAATTGAGTGGAACAAAATTGTCTATAACTTAGTGTCAAACTGTCATTGCAAGTTTAGTCAAATTCAGTACAGTATAACAAATTTTTCTGTATTCACTCTCCTTTTTTTACCTCAACGTTTAATTTTCTTTGCGATTTTAACCGAGACTGTTTTAAGCAGGTTAGGCAATAATCATTGGATTTTACTGACATATGAATGCTAAGTGAAATGCTACTCAGAATGTTTGACAGATTGGTCTTTGTCTGGAAGGTTATTGTTGTATAAAAAGTTCACTACTAGTGGTCGTATTGACCGAAAATAGTCAACTTGACCTTAGCTACACACCTGGTGGTTTTAAGTGACATATAATTTAAATTTCGTCGGTTGGAACTGATACTTTTTAAATCTTACCTGTGGTATGGGAATTCTGTTTAAAGAAAAGAAATGAAGTAGACGATTTTTATGTCCATTTTTCGTGGATGATGTGTGCGGCAGTGGTTTATGGGTACAATGCCCACCAACCATGCATGAGATCCGGGGTTCGATTGCCAATCGGTGCACTCCTGGACCTCGCCTAGCCTGTAGCAACCCCAGTAAAGAGGGAATGTTGAAGGTGAGGCCAGCAAACTATCCCGGATAAAAACGCAACACAAGCTCTTCTGAAACATCGAAGCTTGAAGCCCTGTTTTCCATAATGGGAAGGTAACATTGTTTAGTATTCTAGTTATCTGTGCAAGGAGTTTACCACTGATTCACATCAGTTTAGTTAGCAGTAAACTGTCTTACACCTGAAAATAATTGATTTTAGTCCCAATGCTGCATAATTAGTTTTTGTGGAGCAATGGAACTTCTTAGATCGAGCTTTCTATCCCGTTTAGCTTAATTTCTATTTCTTTTCTCTTATTTGTCGTATGAGTGGAAAAATTTTCTAGATATCCAAGACAGTTGTTGAAACATCTGATAACTAGAGACCTTTGGTAATTTATTGCATACCTAGTAGTTGGTAGAGAAAGTCACTTCAAATTAGCTCGCTTTTCGGCCTATTTGCACGAAGTTATCTTATATAGAACTGTTGATGGCTTTAACAACACTTTTATATAGCCACACTGGTTGGTGTTCTTGATCACGAAAAACTAAGTTCTTAGAGTAACGGTCAGTATAACTGGTTTCTTCAAGAGCAGCTGGATACAGTAAGAGGTGGCTAGCGTAGATACTTCATCTTTTAGTTTCAGAATCACCATTGAACACTCCAAACACAGAGCCCATTGTAAATTCACCTTTAATCAACCGAGGTTCTGAGTGCAAAGGGAAAAGGTCCCGCCACTATTACTATCATGGCTTGCTGTCGAGCCATTGGATCGGGTCCCAGTGGCTTAATGGTCTACGAACTAGCTCGCCTTGTAATCAGAAGGTCCTGGATCCGAACCCTGATGGGTAGGTGCGTACTGATGGGGAGTCCCAAACTAGGCTGACGAAACAGCTCTTCAGTACTCCCAGGTTTTCCAATGGTCCTCTAAATGATGTCAGCTCATGCTGAAATCCTGTAACCTATTCAGTTTAGTGTTATAGTAACGCATAGTATCTCTCTCCAACTGATGCTTTTGAAATGTAATCTATCGATCCTATTGATTGAGTATAATTTAAAACAGGATTGATGTTACTTACTCACAATATTCGTGTAATAATTATGGTCATATAAATGCAGAATCTGATGACTAATTTGTCGGAAAGATTGTTATTTGTTCATTAGGCATTATTTCAAATTTCTAATGGACATCTTCAATGAATTAATTCATTAATTAGAAAATCTCTTTTTTGTATTCTGTTTAGGCCGAGCAGATCTAGATAGATTAGCTAAGGAAGCACAATCCTTATGGCTTGCATGTGAAGCTCTAGCTTGTCGACTGCATTCCGTTAGTCCAACAATGATGTCTCATCATAAGGCTAAAGATGATTCAACTTTAGTAAATCATACTGGATCTCTGAAAGATTTTGTTAATTCAATTCGTGAATGTACTTCATCTGGCAATTATCCTTTTGCTAATGAAATTCTGAATAGTTTATCTGATGATGTCATTGAGAAAGGTGTTTGGACAGAAGTTGGATTGAAAAAAAGATTTGAAAAGGTAAACGAATTTGAGATTTTATTCATTTTTGATTTAGTTCTGTTAACATTTCTCAGTTTGTTGGTTAGCACTGTGATCGAGGATGCGCTTTTCGTCCATTTTGAGACTAGTCATCTGGATGTATCCCCTCCCCAGTGAGTGGTGATGTTTTCAGTAGGACTTGAACTCTGCACTTACGTCACAGCGTCATCTACCACTCTATTTTATCTAGTAGTTGCTCCTGATGGCTCCATAGATTCATTTCACTCGCTTTTTGAGAATGGTGGTCACCTTGTAGGAATTGGTAACTGCCTAACAATCACAAAAACTGGAATTGTTTGAGATTTATCTCTAGTGCACACATTAAGTGCTAAGACTCAAATTCGCAATTTACAGTCTACACAGTTCGAGGTGAGATTTCATCATAACTTCCTTCGGAAACCAAAATTATTCAGATGACATATTGTGGATCTTTTTGATAACATAAATGGTAATCAAGAAAGCGAACATATTTGCACAGAACTATAATATAATACTGATTGGTTGAGATGAGTAGTTGTCAAATATCCAGATTGCTGAGATCCTGGACCTATCGCTGTTTTCAGAAGATTAAGCTTAATACTGAGTACACTATGCACTGTAACTTACGCGGAACAACAGGAAACGGTTGGACAACACGATTATTTATTCGTCAAGCGGTAAAGAAACAGATTTACAGTGGCTAATCAGTACTAAAGTTTGTAAATAGACGTTAATATAGTATGCAACAATACTTCTGATTGTATTTCTCCAATCTTCTGCCAACCAGTTCACGATTAAGCAGTGACAGCCTTCTTGTCACCTGCCAGTGGACACCGGTTCGAATGAACAAACCAACATTAACAGTAGCTGTATACCATTCACATCAACCAGTGGTGCTTGTTAGCCAGATCGAGGTGTTTTAACCACCGGCTAGTCGCTTCGCCAGTTCGGGGCCGAGATCATCAGCTGTTTTCCCGAATTGACTCAGCTGAGAGAAAACAGATCAGTTCAAAGTACCCATATTCTAGCTAGCTAGCTCCCTCGCTGGACTGATGATATCACAAATCATATTCACAGTTTCGCTCTACCGCAAACAAGCAAAATGTACGTCCGGTGTCTAAATCACGTCTGTCTAGCTTACAAGCACTACTGATTGATTTGATTGGTGTACACCTACTCATCTCAATGAATCAGTAGTATATATAGTTTCATGTATAAATGTGTGTCAGTGAGGTCAAGTTAAAATCTCCGTAGAAACAATTTCAACTAAACAGTATCAAAATAAGTAGGGTGTGAACTTGCTCAATGAAGACGACTTAAAAGGGTCAACTTACGTGACAGTTTGTCATGAGCATTATCGTCACCCGAATAAATGTTTCTCAGCTAATTTGATGAACTTAGTGACTAGTCATGTCATTGTGCATTGATTAAGTATTATAAACCGTTATAAACTTCTACTGGAACTGTTACCTGCTAACGTATTGATTTTGACTGAATGAGTCTCGACAGGAGTTCAATTTTTGCGGCCAAGTTTAAAAAAATAGTGGTCGAGGAGTAGAAACGAACCAGTAACCTTGAACATATACTGTTCGTTGAATATCAGGACCTGTCATTATTATTATATTGCCATTGAGAATGCTGTGCACCAATTGAGGTACAAATTTCATCCTGACCTCGTTTTTAAGTACTGTGTTTGGATCATGGATTGATAGGTTTTTAGAGTTAGGGTGTTTTAATTATCTGTACTTCTCTAGTAAATAAGCGGCATTTTTATGTAAAATAAATAAACAAACACCGGTTATTCTGATTGGTCGCCTCAAGGTTAGTCGTGCGGTTCGTATCTCTTGGATCGCTATTCTTTAACTTCGCCCAAGTTGCCACTCCCCCCATATAATGTATAAAGGTTGATAAAAAAAGAGTAAGCAAATTCGAAAAAATACTAATAAACAGAATTGTAAGAGAGGAAAAATAGTAACATGGAAAAGCAAAATTAGTGTTTAATGGATCTGAAAGGCTACGAAGAGTGAATGCATCTGCTCCATTGTATTACCAACAGTCTCCAGCTATTGGTTCTTAGAATCTCAAGAACCCCTGCCAGACAGCGTACACTTCCCTATGTGGCTCAAAGTAACTGTCAAAGTCTGCATGGACTTATGGCGTGTTTTGGATTGATCATCCCTATTCGTTTTTCAGCCTAATCAAATGTTGGCTAACATTTCTTGTCGTGGAAGGCGATGGCTCGTGATGCGCAACACATGTACTAGCCATCTCAATCTATTCATCTTTACAGCCTCATCGCTATAGACTCACCCTCCTCACCTAACAATCTACGCGTGACTGCAGTATTACTTACCATAATACACCAACGCAGACATCTGTGGTCACCTGTGGTTTCTGGTGATGAAAAGAGGTGCATGTGGTATTCACCCCTTTCAGAGTTTTCCAACTCCCCTAGATGGATCTGCATTTCCAACAGTCCGGTTGTAAGGGACACACGTTCGCATTCTCTCTTTCATTTTTGTTAGGATTACCACTGCTGTGCGAAAGCACTGAATAGGATTTTCGTGTTGGAGGCTATGAACATGCGTCTACGTGAGAGCATTTCGAGAGGACGACTGAAGTCTACTCACCCTCGTCCGTGCAAGGTCGTTTATGGGGGCGTTCAGTTTTGTGATTATTCACAATTTTATTAAATTTGATTTCTACATATATTGAAATCATAAATCTTCGCTGTCATTGGGTACTTCGTATGATGCAATACCTGTGTGTATATGTAACCTGACGTTTGTTGCTTGTGCGCGTAACTTACGTGTAAAACTTACAGTTCACAGTAGGAATGGAGTCGTTGGGAAACAACTCGGTCAATTAGTCGTTTTCTGCATTCGTTTTAACTGAACATGATTGTATCAACAGAATTATAGTTGATAGTGACTATTTATAAAATTCAATGGATGGACATTTCGTCCTATTTGAGACTCCTCAGCTGGGTGTATCTGCATTCCCAGTGAGTGATGGCGTTCTTATTGAGACTCTAAACCCCCTACATCCATCGAGATATCCATCCAAAATTCTATTATTCGTTACCTTCGGCCTAAATAAGGTCATTTTAATCTTTGGATATTGTCGAAGCGTTGTACTAGGAGCGCGTGGACGTGTCACTTCAGTCCAGCATAATCAATAACCTAATGACAAGTAAACGTTTTGCTTAATATTTTACACTTTGTATCGTTTTCTTTTCAATATCTCAGGTGTATAATGTATGCAGAAATGTTACTTTAATTGACGAGACAAGTGGTTCACTATGGGAATATGCCTTATCTTGGCTACAATCTGCTCTCATAGTTGATATGAAATACAAATGTCTACAAGCACTTTCATTCATCAATCCAAATGTTATTGATGGTGGCGGTGGTCAAAAACTTGACCTCTCTGCATATGAAGAGGATGTTGTTGTGATGAAACAGACCAATTCACCTAAACTAGATCCATTCTGTTTACTGTCTGCTGCTAAACAAGCAATGCTCAATGATCATAATATTCTTTCAGACAGTGATGAAGATACTTGTAGCGATGAAGGACTTGAAACAGCTGTACGCCTACTTGGACAATTACGTGGTCAAGCCCGTGTTGTTGCTGATGACTGGTTAGTCGATGCTAGACATTATTTAGAAGTGAAACAGACAGCTAGAACTTTATTAGCCTATGCTGCTGCTCGTGATATTTCCACTTTTCAGAAACGTTTGTAAAACGCTTTGATTGATGAAAAAACAAATTGATGTGTGTGTACAATCATATGATAAGAAAAAAGGCCAAGGAGTTGTTACAATAGACACGGGTGCTTCAATTTTTTCTGATACACTTCTTGCTTTGTAGATTTATATATTTACAAGGCTTGATGATATGTCTTTTGTTTGTAAAACTAGCAAAGTTATTCTATTAACTGAAGCACAGACAGTTATATTTTGTTTTAGCTATACAATGTATTATAAAATATTAGCTGAAAATACATTAGTATACTTTTTATACTTCACATTTATATCTTCTGTTTTAGTTAATTTGGGAGTGTTACTACGGAGTGTAGAGCTGTTTTGTTGTTGTCTTTTGACTGGAATCCGCCTCAAGATATGACAGTATAACCAACTGATCATTTTAACAAAATTTCACACTCTAAAATAGACACAAAAGTCAGATTTAACAGTGACAACGTTTTATTTTTCAAAGTGTATAGCTACAAATAAATAGTCAACGTTTGACTGGTTGTATGTCCTTGAAAATCCTCAGGAATTCGAGTCAGAAATAAGCCAGGTTTTCCAATGGTTCCCTAACATATGTCAGATGATGATTATGATGAAATCCTTCAACCACACAAACAAAGTCCTATACTTGAAAATTGATCTGATGCTCACTGGCGACTGGCCCTGTCCACGCCGTTACCTGGGGTTCTAGTGGGAAGCCGTGACCAGCAGGTCGATAGTGAGGACTGTTACTCATCGAAGAAGACATTGCGAAGTTGTCGTGAATTGGTAGAAGTTATAATTCATCGGCTGGCCATTGGATCGAGTCCCAGTGGCTTATTGGTCTACGAGCTAGCTCTCCTGGGTTCGACCCCTGATGAGGAGTCTCAAACTAGGACGAAACAGTTGTCCAGTACTCCCAGGTTTTCCAATGGTCCTCTAATTGATGTTAGCTCTTGATGAAATCGTCCAACCAATAAAAAAAACCCTAAAAAAGCAATGAATGAAAATTTTACCATTCACCAGCAACATTAAATCTCTGAATGTTGATAGAGAAAGAATCCAAGTTGTTTTCTAGCTGGATGCGTGATTCGACTGTACGTGGATTTACTGTCCATATTTTAATCACATTGGTTTTGAAACTTTATTTCTATTATTTCAGTACAGATTTTGTCAGGAAACACCATCAGTTAGAGATTACTGAAAATCAGGAAGCACTGGAGACAGCTGATCCATTCTAGTTTGGAATTCTTTGGCATTGCCTTTAACCAGGGATCAAACGCGAGACCAAGTTCCTTGTACTTCCAGCCAAGACATGAAAAGATTAGCTGTCTTTGATCATAAATGTCTGCGTTCTATCTCCTGCGTGAAGTGGTATAATAAGGTGAGCAATATTGAGGTTAGGCGTCGAGTGCTAGGTAAGGAGAGGAAATCAATGGAAGAGGCTATAAAGTTACATAGATTGAGATGGCTAGGTCACGTGCTGCGCATACCAAACCATCGCCTCCCCCAACGGGCATTACTAGCTGATATAGGTGCAGGTTGGAAAAGAGTAAGTGGTGGCCAAACAGAAACATGGCATCAATCCATGAAATCCTTGACAGTTAAACTGAGTCAGGTAGGGAGATTCAGACTTCCGGTTTGGGGCCCTCGGGACTCTAAGAATCAATGGCTGGAGACAATAGGTGACATGGCTCAAAATCGTTGTCAATGGCGCAGATGTATTCAGTCTCTGTAATCTTTCATATTCCTTTCTACCACCATTACTCATTCTGTTTCACTCTTATACTTGTCAAAACTCTATTGATTCTCTTCACCCATTTTCTTGTCTACCTTTGTGTGCTCTTTGGAATGTGGCAACTCGAACTGCTGCACTTCGGTGCCAAGTCCTATGTTGAATCCAGCCAAATCTGTGGATTTCAACTTTGTTTTGTTTCTGTAACTTAAATCCGGGCATATTTGTATTGTTGTCGTTTAAAAACAAAATTGTTCATTAGAATGTGATCGCTTATAAAATTTATTAATATGTGGGATTCGTAACTATTACTAAACTGGAATGAGTAGTTTCAGGGTGTCACCTTTACTGTGTTTTATTTAATTCTTAGATTGAGTACTTATCAATAGCAATCAAATGGGTCTATTTCCCTTGTGTATCACTGATACTTAGTGGTTCATTTCTACACATCAGATTAAAAACAATCAGATGGGAAAAGAAATCGGAGGTTTTAAATAGACATTAGGATGAAGGTGGCCGATGATATAGCTTATCTCCAAAATACACCGGTTAAAATGAGTGCCACTGAGACAAAATAAGCAGTGAAACAATGAAGACATAATTTTATGTGTTTGACTGTGAAGCCGGTTTTGAAGCTAGGAGTTTTCCGAGCATGGATACGCAAAATTTATTATCAACATCTCAAATGCCATTATTTGGCGACTATGCTAAATTAATTGTAGCTGTAAAGAATTCCTGAGCCTACAGCATCCTGCACTGAGTGCTGACCCTCACTATTTAAGTCATCTGGTTAGACTGAAAGTAAGCATGTATGCATTGACGTGACTGATGCGTGGTGGTACGTTATGTTTGGTTTTTCATGCACACCCTCTAGTTAACGAAGAAGACAATAGTGTCTTTCGTTCCTGGCCCCGAAGCATATTTCATAATTAGGACGCCCGATTTGGCTTTCTAACGGTACTCTGGTTTACACAGAACAAGTACACTGATGGTTGGAGTATAGATACGCGCATTATCTTATAACTGTATCTTGTGTACTCATCGTTTTGATTCGTCTCCGAAATGTCGCAAATAGCATTATTTCGGTGTAATTTCTGCCATTATTATTGTTAGTTTCTTGCCTTCAAAGTGGAATGCGCGCTCTTCAGTGCCACGTTTTTATGGCATTTGATTCTCTGCAATCATATCCAGGTGGCTCCACCACTTCCCACAAACTTCCATTTCCTCTCTAACTGATAATCTCAATGTCACCTTTGGCTACTCAACCTATCGGTTCCTCTTTGATGTCACCTGAATGTTTCCTAAACGTATATCAGATAGACCCCCATTTTCTTCTGCATATCTGTTTCGCAATTGGTTCTTGGTTGATTCGCTGCCTCTCAGAGTTTCTTGTTACTTATCATATCCTCCCGGCCATTTGATCTTTGGTATCGAGAAAAAGCTCCTGATACAATTCAACAGGCCGTTGGTAATGTATAGGAGCGTATATAAGCACTGACATGACAGCGTTTAAAATCAGAACCTTGTGCTGAGTGCCGTATGTTTCCATACGCACTAAAGAAGGGTGGAGGTTTGTCTTACTTTCACGAACTGATCCTTGTTGGCTTTGACATACTCATCACTATCGCTTGTAGTTGACACGATGCTTCAGAACTACAAAATTTATTACCCACAATATTATACCTTCAAATGCTAAAGTTGTACAATGCGTATTATCTTACACTTTTGTGTAAATTGGCCTATTCACAGTTCATCTTGCACTGTTGTTTATTTTTGGTCTGGATGCACATTTTGTTAACTACGAGTCATTTTGTGACCAGCCATTGCATTCTTGGCATATGGAAGCCGGATCACCTAAAAATTGAACTTTTGTATAGTAATTACTTGATGCATTTATAATTACAAAACAATAAATCTTGCAGTACCTCCAATAATTTGAGTTTTGTGACAAATTTTTTTGAGACAGTTTGGTTTAACTTTGAATTCTGTTTTGAAGACTGAGAGCATGTACTTTCGTTGAAATTTATCCATACATTGGCAGTAAGATAAATGGTATTGGCAACTCCTTTTGGATTTACACTTTCGGTGGTAAAAACTACTTGTCACTAGTCGGGTGTTATAATTCCCTTTGTCTTTTCTCCGTTTATATGGAATTCTTCGCTGCTTTTTCTGTCAGCTTTCTGGTTTTCTCTCGTATAACTTCAGGTTCATGCTAAATGAGAAGTGGATCAACTGTAGAATCTGGGTATTTTTGTCCATCCGAAATATGTGATCACATTGTGGTCATTAACATTCTGTAGAAAAACAAATTAGTAGATAATACATAGTCACTGTGCTTTACACCAAGCTGATTGTTTGATTGTGGGCTTGTTGACATTACTTGAATTGAAGATGACTGTGCAGTGCACATTGCAGTGTCAAAGACTTTGATACAATTTGTACATATACAAACTGGCTGCACTGCCAATTTGCGATTCTCAATTTAGCTGTCTAAACGTACATTTCTTGAGTTTGTAATAAAGCCATAGCCGTTAGACAAGTTTTGAACCCCTCTCCTCAGATAATTTTGTACCTTTTATTTTTCTGAAATATCCGGAGCACCAAAGTACTTTTCCCTAATAACTGTAGCCGTAGGTGGTTCTCCAGAATTATTAGCCACAGTATCAATCACTGAACATTGGATGCTGACCCTCACTGTTTAAGTTGACTTGTTGAATTGAAGGTTAACAATCAAGCATCCACGTCATTTGGCACGCCGTCGTGTTACTTTCGCTCGTACTCGCATGACCCTTAGCTAGTTAGGCAATCAACCTCGCACTCCAATTTGTTCCAGGACTGCACTTAGTAATTTGGATGACCAATCCTGCTGCTTTACTTTGGCTTTTGTCCAGGTGGAACAAATACTATAGAAGTTGTGAGTACTAGATCTTGCGCACTATCCGTGAACCTTAACACCCTCAGCCTCTAAATAACCTTTTTTTAAAATTTGCGTTCTGTCTTTAGTACTTATGCATTAGATAGTGTACTGAATTATTAGGTACATAGGTAAATTACGTTAGATAAGGACTGTTAAACTGAAGCTTATCAACAGCAATACCAGTACATTACAACTATGCTTAGAGCTCACAAGATAAGGGCCTTTCCTTAGAAGTACTCATAAAGCGGTTAAGAGTGCCAGGAGTATGTCTTCACTTATATAATAGGATACTTCAACCATATATTTACCAGCAAACTGTACAGTACGCAAGTAGAAGTCTCACACCCCTAGCCACG